GGAGATTTTATTCCATCCGTATGTTTTTAATAGAAAGCTAGTGCTTTTCATGAGGTCCCATTATTAGACGAATAAGTGTAATAAAAGTTCGAGACATCAAGAATAAAGTTAGAGACATCTTAAGAATGATGATATCAGCAGTATATGCAACCCGTAACTTCGTAGCCGACAAGGCAATAAGTGTATCTATGGAAGAAGTAAGAAATTTTATGTAGTTTTTGATGTTTACCACAACTTATTTATATCATTACCCTCATTCATAACGACTAAAAAATGTATGGAATAACATAGGGTAATTTCATAATTTTTATATGTTTTCAATTACAGGTCGGACATGAAAAATCTTGCCAATTTGCTGGCTGTCCCTCTCAGCGAACTTGTTGTAAATTTCATCTCTCTAGCCGCGGTCACACTGTCCTCGTGGAAGACAGGTTTGTTCACAAATAGTTTAATTTATGTATTAACTAGTTTATTTTGACATCTTAATGTTTTTACTTCATGACCTCCCCAATAAACTTTGGTACTTTATCTTTCATGGTTGTTAAATTTACTCTGTAAGGAATAATGCTAATGCTGTATCCAGCGAGGAATAGGTTGATGCTTGTCAATCTGTCAACATAATTGTTTGTATTCAGAAGGGCGTCCCGCCCGTACGTGGTCGGCGGGAGATCGCGGGCGCAGCGCGTGCCGCCGGACGCGTTTCCCCCACCACACACACCCGCCCATTCTCTGTTAGCAGGTAATTAATTGACACTACCCTAAAAGGTGTTTCCCGCTCTCCTGTACTCTTATCGATAGTATTTGTAAAAGAATCTAGATTGTCTTTTGTTTTGTAAATGTTGTTACTTTTTTCTCCAATCATTCAGTATGTTTAAACAAAGGATTTTGTCAACAGTAGGCTGTTCACTCGGGGGGAGCTCGATAGACAATGTCCGAGGACTTGGACTCGATCAGCGAGGAAGAACAAAGCTTGTTCCGACCTTTCACACGCGACTCACTTGCCGTTATCGAAGCTCGGATAGCTGACGAGCATGCTAAGCAAAAAGAACTCGAAAAAAAACGAGCGGAAGGCGAGGTAAGAATAGAATTACTCAAACACAAACTAAAACAACATTATCTACTATGTAATTTTAAGAAACCATGCGATATGCAAAGTTGAAAATTACAAAATAAGCAACGAAAATTTAAAAAAATCAGGCTGGAATTTAATTTATAGATCTTACAAGACATTTTTGAACTATTCCAGAACGATTTGGGGCGGACGAAAAAGAAAAAAGAAGTAAGATTGCTTGCTTGCCCCTTTTACCTTTTTACGGCTCGTTTTTATTAGAAGATTATATCCAGCAAGTTATCGCTAGTTAAAAAAAATAATTTAAAAGATCAGACTGAATTAGTCTTGTATGCGATAACTTGCAGTTGCATTTTATTGCGCGTTAATGACATTTAATGCATTCTTTCCCGACACATCGCTTGTCCGCAACGTTTCAATTAAAAAGTTGCCATCAAGTTTAGCTGTTGACAAATGTTTTGTGACAGTTAACCTTATCGTAGTTCCTCAAGGGAAGCTTATCATGTTGTTTTGCATATAAACTAAAATGTCATTCGACAGCCTTCTGTTTAGCAACCTCAGAATTCAAATGTGATAGTGATGTGAATAAAACCTTAATTTGAAATCCCACAAAAACCTTAGAGAACAATCGTTAAACCGAGAAGTAAATTAAAAAATATAATTGTTACTATGTGTAAATCTAAATGTAGCCCCTGAAACCTTTTGTGTGTTTATGTACATAACAGATACAGAAAGCATTAGCAAAACACACAAGGCACAACAGATTCACCATCATCATGCATTGCACACGGTTGGCCAATGTTTTTCTCATCTTTGGCTGTATCATTTTAGCATGGTGACATCACCTAGCTATCCTAGAGCACACAAATAACAAAACAAATAAGATCTATTCCGAATTAGCTGTATCTTTTGTATGATACTGTAAATTCGTAATGGCAAAATTAGGCACGTTGAAGCAGTGCGCTTTTAGTTTGCCGAATGCATCATGGCAAGACAGCAGCGGCACCAGAACTGGCATATTAGCTTCAGATGCGATCACTTATATACATGCTGTAACCACACCATAACAACGATACTCAATGTGAGCACCAGCGGAGCTGATTGAGTTTTTGTTACATGATGCATCACTAATCAAAGCTTGTAGTTACGATAATAATATCGAAGAATAACATGAAGTTTAAACAAAGTTATACTTTACTACTCATATAACAGTGTTCACTTTACAAAAACATTTGATTCGTCTATTCCGTACTTTGATATTTAACGGTGTTTGGATGTGACAGGTGCGGTACGATGATGAGGACGAGGATGAAGGTCCCCAGCCTGACGCGACCCTGGAGCAGGGTCTACCACTGCCGGTGCGGATGCAGGGCTCCTTTCCCCTGGAGCTCGCATCCACGCCTCTTGAGGATATCGACCCCTTCTATCATAACCAAAGAGTAAGTCATATCGATTTCTATCTTCTATCATAACTCAAAGAAGCACAATATTTAACAAATAACAAAATAGTTATAATGGTTATAGTTATGATAGATACGATGGTAATTAATTTTTTTAAAGCTTTAAAATTATCGTTGATTGTTTTCAAATAATTACACATAGTAATTGTGATAACGACGGTTGATAAAATAAGTATTTCTAAAACACAAATTGTTATATCATTATTACATCAAATATTTCTTGGATTTTATCAAACCGATGTCGAAGAAATAATCATCGTAATTTCCAAAATCGATTGACAGTCATTATATTACTAATTTCAATTGTTACAGACATTCGTAGTTATAAGCAAAGGCAAAGATATCTTCAGGTTTTCTGCGACGGATGCTTTATGGATATTGGACCCATTTAACCCTATAAGAAGAGTTGCTATATACATATTAGTACATCCCTTGTTCTCCTTGTTTATTATAACAACGATTTTAGTAAACTGTATTCTTATGATAATGCCGACGACACCCACCGTCGAGAGCACTGAGTGAGTAACAGATATTTCTTATCGCATTACCATCAAGAAACGGAATTACAATTTTCATTTTATCATTCGTAGAATGCACGCTAGTTTCAAAATTGTTAGTTTCAAGCTAGTTGTCTAATTCTTGATAGGTGTTTAGATAATATTAAGCATTATTAGAAAAAATATATGCTTAGTTTTAAATACAAATGTAATCGAAATTAATGTTGTATCTTTTGAAATAAATTTATATCTAATACCAGATCTAGGTTATCTAGTTTCTATCTTTTCATAAACTTTAACATAATAAAAACATTTGTCTTTGTTGAACATGTAAATACTTCAGACATCTTTAGAAGATGGGCGTTGAAGATTTTTATAATTTTAAGCGACTTGTCGACGTTTTTTTAATCCATGAAAAACTACACAAACCTGTTCATCGTTTGGAATTTTTATCTTTTTACCTAGAATCATCTGTAACTATAAAATGATGGTTACTCATCGTCTTGTAAATAATGTAAGACTACTACAAGATCATTTAGAGTTAGTTTACATATAGCATCTTGTATCGTTAATTAATATTTCAATGAAATAGCAATATTCATGTCCGTTTGAACATTAAAACAGGGGCCGGCAACAGATGGAAGTTTGAAACTCTGACAGCGAAATATTCTTACATTTATGTTGATGCTATTTTAATTTTAATGTTCACTTTTGAATGCTACTATTGTCTGGAATTAGATTGAAATTTCTTGGTTCAGTTCAGATGTTTGTATTCAAATATATCCGGACCTCATTTAAAACGATTTGCCGACCCCTGGAATAGAGGTTGCCATGTTTGACATCACTGAGAACTTTATAATGTAAATTCTTGTTGAACGACGTTCCACAATGGAGGTGAATTTTTGCAGAGTTATCTTTACCGGGATCTACACGTTTGAATCGGCGGTGAAAGTTATGGCCAGGGGTTTTATACTGCAGCCATTCACATACCTTAGAGATGCATGGAATTGGCTTGACTTCGTAGTTATAGCTTTAGCGTGAGTAGTAGACAATTTATTAATTACGTAGACGAATAAACGTTTCAATTGTAGATTTTCTTATCGTTATTTTACTAAATATTTTTATGACTTAATAGTTGTATTATAGAAAAAGATGTTTTAGATGTTATAACATTGGGAAGGTTAAAAGAAAATAAAGCGATGCTGAGGAAGAAAATTATATTCGTGATTCACCTTGGATTTATTCGGGAATAGATATTTTTTTAGATAATCTAGTTTAGCAGTTAGTTATATTAATATAGATGTTGTGGTTGTGCGTATTTTTACAGTTATGTGACGATGGGCATAGATCTCGGCAACTTGGCCGCGCTCAGAACCTTCAGAGTTCTCCGAGCGTTGAAGACTGTGGCCATCGTACCGGGTAAATCTATTTGTATACTTACTTAACTAGAACTTAGCAAGAGTTAACGTAAATATGCTTATATTTAGATAAATGCTTAGGCTATCATCAGGAAGTTTTAGTAAAATAGATGGATTGGAGTGATAAAAATTGTGTTCTCAGTAGTTTTAAGAAATAATGATTAGAAACTGACACGTGTGTTGATATTGCAATTTGTTTGTTTTGTTGAGATTTTGTTTAAGAGTAATATCTGAGTATTTGACTAATCATGTATCTGGCAGGGTTGAAGACTATCGTTGGAGCTGTAATAGAGTCTGTGAAAAATCTACGAGATGTGATAATATTGACGATGTTCTCGCTGTCCGTGTTCGCGTTGATGGGTCTGCAAATTTATATGGGAGTGTTAACACAGAAGTGCGTCAAAGTATTCCCCGAGGATGGCAGTTGGGGTAACCTCACCGATGAGAACTGGGAGAGATTTTGTCAAAACGAAAGTAAAAACTAATTCTTATAAATATTGATAATATTTACAACTTTTTTTATATTGTTTTTAATCTTTTTTAATTATATTTAGCAAACTGGCACGAAGAAGGCGGAGAATATCCTTTATGTGGCAATTCATCAGGAGCAGGGTAAGATTAATATCCTAGCAATTAATACTTTTTTTTTCTTGTAATACATCTTCTTTCTTTCTTCAGACAATGTGAGCCCGGCTACGTGTGTCTACAAGGATACGGTCCGAATCCAAATTACGGCTACACCAGTTTCGATACCTTTGGTTGGGCCTTTTTGTCTGCGTTTCGACTTATGACACAGGATTATTGGGAAAATCTCTATCAATTGGTAAATTTACTTAATTTAATATTTTACGTTTGAGCTAAGTAGTATTTGTACAAACAATATAAATAAAACAGTTCTTTCCATGACACTACTGACGTTTTTGGTTTTAAATCAATACATTTAATTTCAGGTATTAAGATCGGCTGGGTCGTGGCACGTGTTATTTTTTGTAGTCATCATCTTCTTGGGCTCGTTCTATCTCGTCAACTTGATCTTAGCTATCGTCGCTATGTCCTACGATGAACTGCAGAAGAAAGCGGAAGAAGAGGAACAAGCTGAAGAAGAAGCTCTGAGAGTAAGATTCTATTTAACCAAAGTTCAGAATATAAGAAAACATAGCAATTAATTAAACTTCAAAATGATATAATCTTTACTTTTTCCATAACTAAGAATTTTCTTTAATTTTAAAAACAGATTAATCTACGACTTTCTCTACGCCTTTTAGTAATTTCTAAGGCATTGTGGATTGTAAGGAAATCCTCAAGTTAACGTTTTGTTAAATGTTTTTTCAGGAGGCAGAACAAA